ATATATTTTTTTTTTAATTAGAAGGCTTGTCCAATATAATTTTTATGCAATCATCATATTTTAATATCGATATGTGAGAAAGAAAATTTTTAATTTTGACGTAACACTTTAAAACAAATAAAAATTATTAATATGCGAAAATACAATATATCTTCTCGAGATTTCCCTCTATGTATGGCGCACGCGCGATCGCCAAATGTGGAAAATTTAAGACGATGATTTCCATCTATAGAAGCATATACTTTATCGGATACATTTACGTCCTCCCCTCCCCCTCCTCCCTCCTCTGCCATTAAACATAACCAGAACTTGTCCGACCGCGGGGAGATAAGAACTCGTTACTATAAACTACTCGGTTTTACTGAATCCACGTACCTGACATTTGTGTGTGTGTGTGTATATATATATATGTATGTTCACACACTTTTCGCATACGTGTACCATTCGCGAGAGATCACGTCTAACATTTAATGCCGGACACGCTTAGGCCTCGCCGATATAAAAACGGATATTTCGTGGAGGAGTGGAATATTTCGCGGAAAATATTTTTCAGATACGCGCGGCACACATGTTATTTTTCCGCCGTATAATACGTAGAGATGTATCGGCGATCGCGCGAAGGAATGAAATTACGGCGAGGCCTCCGCGATGATCGGAGAGGAGGCGCCGATAAACGGGATGCTCTTAATTTGCCCAACTTTTTCAATCGCAAGTTCCCGCAGCTCCCGCCCGTTGTGTGAGTTGTACTATCTCCGCGAATAGTTGGAACATCTCGAAAACAACATAAAGCGCGTCTCATTCCTGAGAGCGTGTACGTGACAGGCCCGGTTTCTTGCTGAGTCAGAAGCAAAATCGAAAATGTCTGCGGTTACCGCGGTAACGATTAGTCTAAACTCGCGGACCAATGTTTGCTTAAATGCAATGCGATAATAATTATTACTCGATCTTTCTGATATTCTTCATGTAGCGTGACTCGTCGAGACACCTCATCAGATGTCGTAGTCTCTTTATTCTATCGCGTCAATACGTTTTTATATATACTCATTTATGACGTTCTAAATTGTGTGATGATAAATTGAGCTGTTAACACAAACATATATATGACATGTGAACATCAAACGGAAATGTCGAAAATAAGCTATAAAACTATTTATCATCTGTCAACTTTACCGATTGTCTATATTTTTCTACTTCATGTAATATATGAGGAAATGAAACTTTGACAAACAGATATAGGAATCTATTTCACAATTTACAAAAATATTTGCGATGCGTCTTCCTCTTCGATTTCGATGAAACTCAATTAAAAGATATTTTATTCTTTACGTTGAAAGCTATATATTATTTATACTTTTTTTGTATTATTATTATAAATAGAACATCTCTCAGAATAATTTGTTTATTATAAATAAAGCAATGCAGAATTAATTGGATTTAACTTTGTTATATTTTCCTGTAAAAAAGAATATATATAGATAGATATTATTAAAATTACGATTAGTTAATGTTTGACGTTTGGCAACTGAGAGCTGGCAATATTTATTGTGTATCGTAATCTAGCATAAGAAATTTTCTGATCAAGGAAATTAGCGCTTCTTATGATCGGTCTTTCCACTCAAAGAGAGATATAACGAACATATCCGTGAATTATAAGTATGAAACGCAGTATTCACAAATCAATTTGCATTTCTCTTTCGCTGTTATCTTAATGTTATACATACCACGAAAATATGAGCGACGAGT